TGATTATAGAAACAAATCTGAAACTGCATAAAAAGTTAAAGTGGTCTGAATTTTCATCGTACTCCCCTCCTCTTTTCTCTCTGATCTCCGTCGGCCTCACTCATATGTGATTCATTCAGTTATTCACATTGTTGCATTCGATCAGGAGCATTTGCCAATTATTTTGAAGATTATATGTGTCAGTGGAAGAAGAGATGATCGAAACTGTTTTACACGCATGTCGATGAAGAATCAAAATCGAAGAAAATTTTTTTATTCTGTAATACAACATAACAGACGAACTCAGAATAAAAGAAAAACTGGTTCCAATGTCAAAAGTTAGATTAAAAACAAAAAATGATGGAGTCTATAAATTTTGAAATTGTTTGTTATATTTTGTGCAAACAGTTTATACATTTGCAAATAGTGGTGCAAAAATTGTGCAACTAAAACTGGCTGTTCCGCATCGATGTGCAATATTTTTGCAAGCAACAAAATTCTTAAACAAACAGGAAGACTGTTGTTGCCAATTATTTTTGGGATGATTTCGCAAGAGAATTTTTACAAAATAAGGAAATTTAGCAGGAATCTTTCTTTCTATGTTATTTTTGGGTAAATTATGTTGTCACTGAATCTGTCATCGGTTTGTGCCAAAAGGATATAACTTATCTATATCTATGTGCAACTGGTCAATTTTAACCACCCATTAGCCATTGACCAAAGGCAATTGAACTGCTGTTGCTGCTGCCCTCTATTAAACGGCTTTATTAATCTGTAAACTTTCAGGGAATTACTAATTAGAAAGAATTTCCACATTTTTGTTCCTCTTTTTTTTTTTTTCATCAACACTAAAGAAAAAATATGCAAAAAAGAAAAAAAACAATTTAATTTACCTTTTTGGTTTTTTTTTCCGTTGTTGTTGCTGTCGCCAACATTTTTGAAATTATTTAAACTTTCAAATAACAATTAAATTGATGTTCTTTTATTGCTCAGTGTGCAAATATGTTCTCATAGTCTCCTTTGCATTAAGTCTATTATTTGCCTATATTTTGATAAATGCATTTTACCAAGTTGCTGTTGTCTGTATTTGGATAATGTGATGGTCAAGGGCAGAACAAAAACTCTTTAATTGAAAACCTTTATAACAAATAAATTGGTTATGACGGATTATTCATTCCTCTGTCACTCTAACATTTCAGTTAATGAAGCTTAAGCCTTGGTTCATGTTCCTTCTATGTGCATAAGCTTGTCTCACCACCATAATCATTTCACTTGCAGTGATAACAAAGTGATTTAAAATAACACAAATCTAACGTTACTGCAATAACCTGGATGAAAAATAACGGAATGAGAATAGATGCTATTTGGTCCTGACAAACTGACAAATATTGTTGCTGACAATCCCTCAGAAGCATTCTGACGAATTATCACCAGTGATGCTATTACAGCTAAGCAGTACAGTGGTAGTTAAAAACTATAGCAAATACCTGATGTGTACAAGTGACTTTCCAAGTTACTGGCTGTTTACTCAGCGAAACTAGTTTGCTGTTCACCAGCACTCCATCAAACCTACACTTCCATCAATAGCAAACACTTTTTGCGTCACGTCATCTTGAAGACTTGCAAAGAAGTACTTGTCGCTTCCTTGCATCAGTTTACTTTTCACGCAACGAAAAAGCAAACAGATACACTGCGATGGTTCACATAGCCACCAAAAAGACGATACGGCAACGTTCGTCCTCAGCTCAGAGCAAAAAAAAAATTTACTATCAAGAATTAAAGCTATGCAAACATGTACATTTAGCGAAGATACCGGACCCAGCAAAACACTTCCGCGTTCGTATTTGCAGAACCAGTAAAAACTGGCGCGCGTACAGCCGATTAAGACCAACAACCAATAAATTCAGAGTGAACACCTTTGAAGTAATTCTCTCGAAAATCCACTGTTCCGCCACTTCCCGTCATTAATAACAACAACCTTAGTTTAAACACTCAGCAATTTTGAGCGAAGAAGAAAATGATTTCCACAAAAAAGAATTCTCAAACCCACTAAGTACCACTTATCCCACCAAAGAGCAACGTTCTGTATTCGCCAATGATCAAATACTACCTTGCAGTACTCATCAATTAAATGCACAACAGAACGGAAATAGCCAAGTTTTTCGCGACCAAAAAGCCAGAATGATTTTCCAGTAACATACTTAGATGAGAAAGCCCAGTGCTAGATAAAACAAGGGTACCAATTTTATTCTCGTTTTTTAACAACAAGGGCGATAACAGGAACAGTAGACAAACGCTATAAATAATATCGCAAAAAGAGACATACTCCTCAATACCGAAAAAATCATTCAGGGCAAAATATTCATCATATAATTTATAATTACTGTTTTTGAAGAAAAATGAAACCGTGGTGGTAATCAATTTCGATATTCTACAATAAAATAAGCTGAAACGGAACAAACGATTATCCACTCTTGAAAAGCAGGATGGCAACCTGGCCAAGATAAAAGTAAATAAAATGCTTCGTTTCGTGCGTCACATAGGAACCAAAATTACGTCCCACAATACAATGCCATGTAGGATTATATTTCTTGTCGAATTCTTTTTTTATGTATGCAGCAATATCTTTTTCTATGTTATACCTGAAAAACTTTACAACTTAAACAACTTATGAAAGCACTTTAATTTCAAGTTAGTTAATATACTTGGAAAGTTTGAAAAATGGAATTTAGTTCAACCACTATAACGACCAGGCCAAAAAAGAAAAAATTTTTAGCTGCTCAAAGACAAATCAAAAACGGAGGCAACCGTGAAAGCCAAACTGCAATGTTTATAGAAAGATTTCTCTGCCACTACTATCTTACAGCGAAAAAATGTCCGACTAGCCCATCTAAAATTTTCTTTCATAAAATGTCACTCGCACCTTCTAAAAATAACTGCAAAAAGCTCCTTTCAAAACAACTCAAGTATTAATTTTTTTTAGTCTGGTAGTTTTTCACATCTGAACCAAATAGCAATTTGTAAAATAAAAAATTTCTAGGTCCCAACATATATTATTCCGCACAAATATACACGAGTTAAAACCAATATCAGATGTTTCTTTATGACTCATTTACTTGTTTTCAAGCATCTCTAAACCTAAGGCACAAAACGCAAAACAGCAACACAGAAATTTTGCAACTAGAGAGTTCTCTAAATAGTGACAAAAAGGAGTAATAGCATATCCAGCACATAACCAAAACATTGCCCAAGTGACTGTTTTCAGCCAATATTGAATCCTCTCACAACTCTGTACTGAAGCACTTCAGACCAGTGCAGTAAAAGTTTAAAAAAAAGCAATAATCCCTTATCGTTAAGCAACCAGCAAAACAAAAAACAAGGTAAAGTGACCTCAC